GAGACACAGCGCGTCTTCCTGCTGTCCCCGGACCTGATCTGAAGGCGGGCGGCGGGGAGAAGAGCGCTTCTCCCCGCTGCCTGCACCGCAAGCTCCGGGGACAGCTGGGAGACGCAGCACGTCTTCCTGCTGTCCCCGGACCTGATCTCAAGGCGGGCGGCAGGGAGAAAAGCGCTTCTCCCCGCTGCGTGCCCCACAAGCTCCGGGGACAGCTGGGAGACACAGCGCGTCTTCCTGCTGTCCCCGGACCTGATCTGAAGGCGGGCGGCGGGGATAAGAGCGCTTCTCCCCGCTGCCTGCACCACAAGCTCCGGGGACAGCTGGGAGGCGCAGCGCGTCTTCCTGCTGTCCCCGGACCTGATCTCAAGGCGGGCGGCAGGGAGAAGAGCGCTTCTCCCCGCTGCCTGCCCCACAAGCTCCGGGGACAGCTGGGAGGCGCAGCGCGTCTTCCTGCTGTCCCCGGACCTGATCTCAAGGCGGGCAGCAGGGAGAAGAGCGCTTCTCCCCGCTGCCTGCCCCACAAGCTCCGGGGACAGCTGGGAGACGCAGCGCGTCTTCCTGCTGTCCCCGGACCTGATCTGAAGGCGGGCGGCGGGGAGAAGAGCGCTTCTCCCCGCTGCCTGCCCCGCAAGCTCCGGGGACAGCTGGGAGGCGCAGCGCGTCTTCCTGCTGTCCCCGGACCTGATCTCAAGGCGGGCGGCGGGGAGAAGAGCGCTTCTTCCCGCTGCCTGCCCCGCAAGCTCCGGGGCCAGCTGGGAGACGCAGCGCGTCTTCCTGCTGTTCCCGGACCTGATCTGAAGGCGGGCGGCGGGGAGAAGAGCGCTTCTCCCCGCTGCCTGCCCCGCAAGCTCCGGGGACAGCTGGGAGGCGCAGCGCGGACCTGATCTGAAGGCGGACTGCGGGGAGAAGAGTGCTTCTCCCCGCTGCCGGCCCCACAATCGCCTGGGGGGGGGGGAAATAATTTTTTTCTTCTTTATTTCACCCCAAAAAAACTTGATGCGTCCTATGGGCCGGTGCGTCCTATGGGGCAAAAATACGGTAAACGGTGTTTCTGTATGCTCTGGCTTCCGTCACAGTGTTCCGTTGCACCAGAAGCAGTTTAGTCATGCTGGCCACATGACCCGGAAAGCTGTCTGTGGACAAACGTCGGCTCCCTCGGCCTCAAAGCGAGATGAGCACCACAACCCCATAGTCATCTTTGACTGGACTTAACCATCCAGGGGTCCTTTACCTTTTTACCTTTTTCTTTTTTTACCTATGGCCCCAATAAGGTTTTCCACAAGGGGAAGTGGCCATTTAGCTGAAAGCTGTTCCCGCTCCATGGCATCGCCTTCCCCTCTTATGCCTGCTGATTATGATGGGAGAAAGGAGTTAATGGGGACAGAGTGTGAACCTTTGTCACCTTAAAAGCAAAGGCTTAGGAGTAAACCCTACACAAATCCTGAGTGGAGTCCTAAGGGTGGCATCTTGTTATGCCTCCTCCTGGCAACTCCTGCAGCCAAGCTGGTGTCAAACGTATTGCTCTGCTTTCCTTTGGACCACACCAGCGATGTCAGAAGGGTGTTCTTGTTGTGTGGGTAGCTCAGAACCACCATACACACTACCTAGGCTTGTGCCCCAGGGAGGTCACTTCAGTGCTTCTAACATGGTAGTTTGACTTGACCCCTAGTAGCATACTCCATTCTCTCTTGAGACCAACGACATTCAGTTTCAGTAAGTAACATTGCCCTTGACCCAGATTAGCTTCCCTCAAGTTGGAAACTTCTGCTTGCCTTGAAGAAGCACTGTTTGCAAATCTCTTCACTTGTGGCAAAAGGTGTTATTTCCCTTCTACATAAGTCATTGCCTTCTAAGTCATTACCATGCCAGGAACTGGTAATTCAGGATTTCCTGATCGACTTTTGGGTGATCTGAATCAGATTGGGAAGGATTCCTGACTCCCTGTTGTTTAACAATGGCAACTGGGAGCTCAGGTCTGGCACTCTTTTGCAACTGACTGCTTCTGGTGACTCTCAGGGTTCTAGGAAGAAACAAAATAAATCTTGAAAGACTGAACTCTGCCCACTCTTTACTTTTCTAGGCATGTGCAAGTACCCACTGAAACCATGTGCCTCTTGCCAGTCCTCTCTCTACTTTCCACTGTTGAAATAGCTCAGAGAGATCTAAGTGTGTCTGCAAAGAACATTCCAGACTTTTCCTTGCATTCTAGGGAAAGTAGGCAGGGGAAAGAACTTCTGGGCAGGCTCAGTCTAGGTTGTTCCTGTCTTTCTGCTGCAGGTAGCATAAAGGAAATTGGAATGTTGTGGACAGCAGTGGCTGTGTTTCCTATCACCCACCTGGAAGAGATAAAAATGGTCCATTTATATGAGTAGCTGCTAAATGGCTTTCTACCCACACATATGCCATGAGATGCATTGAGTATTACCTGCTACTAGCAATGGGTTGTTTTGACTCCTTACTTTTCACAGGCTTAAAGAAAAAAGGTTCATAACTCAAAACTCTGTACACTCTAGGATGTCAGGAAACAGTTTGTGTTTCTCAAACTATTTTGTTGTGTTGGTTTTTTTAAAAAAAAAATTAGGGAGCTGAGCGCTACCGCAGCTGTTTAAACGTGGCTAGCCCCACCCACCAGCCAGCCCTATTGGTTGGCTGGAAGGTTTGGCTGCAGCAGAAGAAGCAATCAGGAGCAGGGAGCCAAATACGCCTCTCTGCCCCTGCGGGAGGCTGCTCCGGCTCACAACCCCTTCCCCTCTGGGAGGAGGAGAGGCCTTCTCTGCTGGATCCTGTGTTTCTCACCTGCTTTGAGGCAGAATTGGGGCACCAGTCAACGGGGCCTGCCAGCAAGCAACTTCTTCTCCCTGGCCCGAGAAAGCAGAAAAGAAACAGCTGAGACATGATAAAGCTCTTGACCTGGAGACTTAACTCCTCACAACTTGGGAGGAGGGAAGGAACCTAAGAGGAGGGCAATTGGCTGGAGCCCTGACTGAGCATCAGGTGAAAAGTGATGCTTAACTGCACACCTGGCTAGGAAACTTTCCCAGAAGCCTGTCATATTGCATCTTCTGAGAATCAGCTTGTTTAGATGCTGCAGATGATTAACGGACAAGAATATTTATTCAGTTCATTGATACCACTTGTCACAGAGCATACCATTCCAAAATGTTTGTCAGCAGGCAAAGTGGCATGGACAAGGATTGTCTGTGTTGAATGGCACATGGAATTGTGGAGCTGGAAGGGACCCAAGGGTCATCTAGCCCAACTTCCTGCAATGCAGGGATCACAATTAAAGAATTCTAGACAGATGGCAACCCAACTCCTGCTTAAAAACCTCCAGTGAACGAGAATCCACCAGCTTTGGAGGTAACCTGTTCATGACTGATCAGGCCTTCACAAATACTATGAGATCATTCAGCATAGCAGAGTACAAGGCAACAGAAACAGAATAACAGGATGTAACTTCTGAGATGCAAGACAAAATGCCCTTTGATGATGAGGAATGCATATAACACACATCACAAGTGATAAAACCAGTGCTGCAGACAATCCTTAGGGGGCGTGTCACTCACCCCCACCTCCACCTGCCTACTATCATTTTTTATTTACCGTATATTTTGCTCTATAAGACTCACTTTTTCCCTCCTAAAAAGTAAGGGGAAATGTGTGTGCATCTTATGGAGCGAATGCAGGCTGCGCAGCTATCCCAGAAGCCAGAACAGGAAGAGGGATTGCTGCTTTCACTGCGCAGCGATCCCTCTTGCTGTTCTGGCTTCTGAGATTCAGAATATTTTTTTGTGTGTTTTCCTCCTCCCAAAACTACGTGCATCTTGTGGTCTGGTGCGTCTTATAGAGCGAAAAATACGGTACTCCAATCAGCACTCATCTCTTTAGCAGCAGTTAGAGACTGATTCCCTATTGGCGGTTACTGTGTTGTTATGTGTGGATGCATCTGTTTTTGCTTCACTTCTATCTTACTGGGTCAATAGTTCTTAAGCCATAAGGGAGGAACCCAGGTTCCTAGTCAGCTTGCAGGCTTTATTGTGCATCTGCTTTGCCACTGTGAGAACACGATGGTGGACAAGATGGGCCTGTGTCTTGATCTAGCAGGGCTCTTCTTATGTTCTTATACCATAGAACTGAGATTCAAAAAAACCCAGAAATCAAGCAAACTTGGGGAAAACATGTAGCACTTTGGCTAAAAATATTTGGTTCCTACATCCATGATGAAGAGAAGAAAGGAAATGGACTGGAAGCAGGTTGTGTGGATAAATAGTTCCAATTCTGAACTAGATACTAGCTACACTGAAGAAAATATGTCGGAGAAGCTTGCACTTTCTCTCCTCCTCACACTTTCAGAACTAAGAAGATGGACTACTAGCAAGTTTCGAAATGCTGTTTATGTCCTAACTTACCTTGATAGTCATGGGTACTTCTAGGTGCCCTATTTATTGCGCATTCATCCCAATTTGTTTGCCAGGATGATGTCGTGTTCAAGCAGATGTTAACCCACACTACCCAGTACATTTTCCTGCCACTTTCCTTATCACAAAAAGTTAGATCTTTGAACATGGTAACAAGAAATATTATGGAATTACAAATTTAGTTGATTAGTTATATCAGAACGTAAGTGATGGAACTTTCTGCTAATGTTCCATTTTTCTTGTCAAGGCTCTGTATGCTGACTTGATTGTTGCTTATTAGTAATTAATCTTTTTTATTGTTGTTTTGCATTTGAAAATCAATAAAATACATTTAAAAAACAAAAGTAACATCTTTTGAAGTAGCAGGTTTGCTGCACAAGACCTCGCAGTCTCCTATAATGGCACAACCTGAAATTGCTGGTATGTGATTTAATCCCACACAGAAGGGGAGATGGGCTGCAAGTGCCTTCGGGGTAAACCAAACTACCAGGAATCTAGGAGGGGAAGAGTAACAAAGAATGCTTGTAAACTGCCGTGAACATTCCATAAAACATTTGTGTTTATCTTTATGTTCTCCTTTAGGTTCAATTTATGAAAAGTGTGGGCATGAATGCTGCTTGTCAACTGGAGATGTGATTAAAGTTGTTGGATTAAAAGTTAAGAAAGTCCTGGCAAGCAACTGTGAAAGTGAAGATGATGCTAGCTTCTGCTCCACTACAGTTGAGCTACCTTTACATTTTCCAGGTACAGTTTGAATATTTTCTGGTTAGATAAGGAAACCAAAAAAGTAAATAAAAACAGAATTAAACACTTCTGTAGTACCTATTGCAGTATGTTTCATTTGCAACGTGCTTGAGGTTATAATGAAGGCACTTAAATTAGTGGTACTTTCTATTCAATCTTAGAGATGGACAAAATGTGCACAATTATGTCTCTGAATAAAAGAAAAACACTAAAGCAAAACAAGTTTGTATAATAGATCATTTCATGACCTGTACAGTTAAATTTACTGCATAATAAAATAAACAAGGCTGCCCTCAGTTTGAACCTCTTATTGATTAAAACTGATCCCCATGAATTAATCACCCAAGGCTCTACTTGATTAACACCCATTGTTTCATTTAATGTTGTCCAAAATTATCCTTTACAAATAGGGGAAACCATGTGCCATTTGTTTCTTTTTTTCATGCATGAAGTGTTGCACACCAAAATAATAAAAATCACAAAATGTAAATGCAACAAAAACAAAATGTTAAACCAATAACCGAACCATAACTCATAGCTGTCAAGTGTCTCTTATTTGAAGGGACAGTCCCTTATTCCAGCGCCATGTCCTGCTGCTGTCCCTTATTGATGGATGTCGCTTAAATGTCCCTTAAATGATGTCCCTTAAATTTCAAAGGAAGCAGCTCCTCTCCCTCCCTCCCTGCTGGCCAGGGAGGAGGGAGGCTCCAACTGTGTTGTTTGACTGTGTTGCTCACCCAATAAGAAGTCTAAGAATGACTGGGGGGTGGAGCTTGCATGCCTTGTGTGTGGCTAGTTAATGCAAGCTGAGGGATTTTTTGAATGCTGGACGCCATTTTGTTGCACGTGCTGCTGCAAACTTTGCAGTGCAAAGCCAGGCCAGGGAGCCATCTTAAGTTGAGGCTGCATAGGCCTTGTGGTGCATGTGATTCAGATTCTATTCAGTTGAACCTCTGGTTATAAAGTTGGTTGGACAGTGTTCTCGAAGCTACCAGCATGAGTTTGACCAGTCTGCAGGAGGACAGGAAGACTGGAGTGCCTGGAACAGGTGAGGCTGCTGGTCCCTTATTTTCAAATCTGTAAGTTGACAGCTATGCCATAACTGTACACAAATGGTGGATTACAAAAACAAATAAACTCCTTATAATTTCAACAGTATACTGATGGAACTACATGCTAAGCAAAATATGTTGGCATTAAAATCACCTACATCTCCTGCCTTTCTCTGCCTCTATGAGATGTGTAATACAATAAAATACAGGTCATTATCACACTGCTATTTTTTCTTCTTGCTATGTGTGTAGTCCAGAGTAGCTTTTGTACCACTTGTAACACAGAGAGAAGACAAGAAATGGGTGCATTCAGTGTCAGCTTCTCTGCAACATGCAATTCCAGTTAGAGATGCTTCAAAAGAGATGTTATGGTGCAGCTGAGTCATAAGTTATAGTTTAATTGCACAGCTAAATTAAATCCCACTGCTATGTTCTCTAAACTTCCCTTTGAATCTTCCTCTAAGAGAAAACCACTCTACCCAAATGTACATATGTACTGAACATTTTCTTTCTGTTATAGCTTTAACAAAACAATCCCAATGGGTATGATTAACATGGAAATAAAGATGCCCTTTAGGTACTGCAGTTGCAGAAGCTGCTGTATCTAGTAATATTTCAATGTTGCAATTAGAGCTGAACAACCAGGTGGGTCTACTGCCTAAGCACAGAATTCATGCTAGTAGTTTGGCTATCCATCATTTTCTTCTCCCTACTTTTTTTTTTTTTACTTCTGTATTAGATCCTAGTATGCAAATTAATATAGTGCCTGTTAAAGGGATAATTAATATGACTCATAGACCTTAATCTGCCAGTATTGTTGCATGCTCCTGAAAGCTATGGGTTGTATTCTTCATATCACTAAGCAAATTGTTCCAACAGCAAAAGGATTTCTATTTTTGCAAAGGAACTTTATCCCCATCTCTCCCTCCCCCTCCCACCATGCACCCCTGTAATTTGTTCTATGGGTTCATCCAACCCTCTGGAGCAGGGCGTGTACAGGGGGGAAGAGTCTTCTTATGCTAACACAATTATTTTGTTGAATCCCAAAGCTAGTTCCTCTTTTCCTTCTAACCATCAGGGAAAACTGGCTCAGCTCTCTTCTGAGCCATTGCCACCAAACACTTGTCACTCACCATTGCCTCCCATCAAAGTGCTTCCCTTTCCGCAGGCCATCAAACAAGGGAAGGGGGGGGGAGAGAAGGACTGACTACTTTAGCACTCAAGAAAACAACTTAAGATATAGATGATATAGATGATATAGATGATATAGATGATATAGTTATAGTTATAGTTATAGTTATAGTTATATAGATATAGATATAGATATAGATATAGATATAGATATAGATGATATAGATATAGATATAGATATAGATATAGATATAGATATAGATATAGATATAGATATAGATGATATAGATATAGATATAGATATAGATATAAAGTTAAACTCAGAAAGAGGCATGAACAGTGCCGGATTTATGTATAAGCTAAACAAGCTATAGCTTAGGGCCCCACTCTCTTCGGGGGGCCCAAAAATGTAAAAGGGGGAAAACTGGACGTACATTTCCAAAATATGAGATAAAAAACAAATAGAATAAAACCTATAAGCAGCAACTGTGGCAAATGTCTTCAGATACCTATTAGGTCCATAAATGACCATATAGCATATATTCAACACAAAAAACAGCAACAATTTGTTGTTGACAAAGGACAGCTGGACATATAAAGGGCCCCATCACCTTCAGTAGCTTAGGGCCTCATCAAATCTAAATCCGGCCCTGGGGATGAAAGATTACCAGTATGTACTTACACATACATACATAGATTACCAAGTTTTTTTGCTGCTAGATACAATTTAAAAACACACACACACATGAAAACGTGCTACAATCCACTCCCCACCCCTGGCTCAAATTATTCACACACAGAAAAGTAGACACACATACACAAATGACACACATATTTCTGTACAAATAAAAGGAGAAATAATACAGATGGCTCTTTGAAAGGTAGTTATCATTTTTAAAATGTCATTTCCCTGGTTTTATACAAACATCCTGAGTTCAGATGATACCTATGATTATGTTAGCAATTTGAACTGCAAACATTTTACAAGGTTATTATTTTATGAATACCAATGCCCCCATTCTTGGGTACCAATGAAATTATAACTACAAATGTCAAGTATTGGATACTTTTTTATGTTTGCATCATTTCAAGGCACCTTTCTTGAATAAAAATGTTCCTTTGAAGGTCTTTGCAGGATAGTGGCTGATAAAACACCCTATGTTAGTGTTGAAGAAATTGTGAAAAAAGTTTTGATTGGATCAACACAACTGCAACATCCCTGCTTCTATTGCTCTAAGGATATAAAAGTAGAAAACCTGACCATCAAACGGGGTGAGAAGATCATATTCAACTCTGTGGAAGTCAGCAATGGGATATTGACTGTACACTGTAGATTAATGAGGGATGGCCAACTCCATGCCTTTGTATTGCCCATTTCACAAGAAGGTGATTTCTATGAATGGGAAGATGACCAGACTTATACCCTGAAAGAGATTGCCAAATGGAAAATCCCAAAGAGCAGAAGTCGGAGAGTGACATTTACTCATATCTGCAAAGCTAGGAACTCTACCAACTTGCTTCCTGTGGATTTTGATGGCTGCATTGTTCTGACACCAATATATGAAGTACAAGCAGCGATGAAATGTAAGTTAATTACTTTCTTTGTCAACCATCTCAGCCTGATTAACAACATACTCAAAAGTGAAACTTCAAGATTTACAGATCAGTTTCAGATGTTGTTTGCAGTTCCCCCCAAATATCCTGAGAACTGTAGAGTGCTGGAAATTGGAGCTCTGGGAATTGGAGCTTTGTAGGGGATAAACCACTGCTCCCAGGAAATGTGCTTTAAAGCTATGGTGTGTATACAGCTTCTGAATTTACCATATCAGAATTTACTGTGTTTGCAGCTGTTTGCATTCTCATTTAATTTGCATGGACCATTCAATGTTACCTTCAAAGAGCACCAGTCTTGATGCTTCTGCCCTGTAAATACCTGATATCGGGATAGTCCAATAACTTGGGGAAAATTAGGTTGCAAATTCTTCACTCAAGGTCTCAGACAATTTGTTTTGGTGTTTTAGGTGGGTGGATCAATCATTACTTCCTGCTACTTCCCTTAAAGTGCTTTTGTTTCTTTTCTGGCTATGTTCTTAACTATTTCTGGTGCTCTCCTGAATGGAAGAGCATAACCCTCAGATTTGCACAAAACCAGAAAACTGCACAAGTAAACCACATTTTAAAATTCTGCACCACGTATTGCAGAGCAATCTGAAAAGTTTGTATTGAGAATTTACAATTGCTTTCATTTATTTTCCAGCCATGTTCTTAACTATTTCAGGTGTGCTCCTGAATGGAGGAGCTTAGCCTTATATATCTTTTGACTCCTTGGATTTGCACAAAACTGGAAAACTGCAAAAGTTTGTCCTGAGAATGAAAAACTAGATGTCAGGGAGAAGAGTTCTAACCTAGTCTTCCTCCTGATAGACCTAAAACAATTTGAATAAATGACGGTTTTATGGCTTACTTTGATCCATTGTTCATTGGGGTGGGGAGCAGTGATGTGAAAATCCCTCCCACCTTCTTTTTCTTAACCCAATGAGGACAAGTCCTTTTTGAACATGTAACAAAGGTCTATTTTTATTTTAAAAAATTAAATGTCTGAAGTAGATATAAGTAGGGTCTTTAAAAAAAATTCTCAGGCGTTCTATGGATCTTTTAAAGTGACTTTCTTATGCTCTCAGAAAAGATTCTCTCATTCTCCTTGGTGCTCATTCTTTTATAGTTCCCTCTGTGTAGCTTTTCCCCACCCTCCTTTGCCCTTTTCTATGTTTAACCATGAGCTTTGGTGCTAAGAGTTTTCTTTTAGATATTTTCTTATAGACAAATTCATGGAGCCTGTCAATGGCTACCTTCACTGTCAGAGGCATTGTGCCTCTGGATAATAATTGCTGGGAGTCACAGGTAGGTAGAGTGATACTGTGCTCATATCCGGCTTGCAGGTTCCCTGCAAGTATCTGGTCAGTATCCTGTGAGAACAGGATGCTGGAACAGATGGGCCACTACCCTGGTCCAGAAGGTTGTTCTTATGTATTGGTGGGGATCATAAGAGCCACAGTTCTCAAAATAATATGGAAACATAGATGGGTGGATGTGGAGTTGTAAATAAAGGTGCACAAGGAAGAAAAGGGAGAACCTATGATGTAGAGAAAATATATAGGAAAACTTGTTCCTGTATCATTCCTGAAAGGTGCTGTCACGTAGGCTGAATAACTGCTGTGTGCCTCACTTGCTTCCTTTAAGGCACCAAGTTCAGGTGACGTTGAACATGTGGCTATTGGGCCATAATGTGAAGGACATCCTGACATCATGCTATTAGGCATTTCTCCATTTCATGCTGCAGGCTCCACTGTCCTGGTCCACATATAATACTAAGTCAATTCCTGCATTCCTGCAATGCAGGATGACCCTTGGGGTACCTTCCAACTCTATGATTCTATGAAACATAGGGACTTCTAGAGAGGAGGCCATGAGCTCTTTGCTGCTCCCCACTCCTCAGTCATTCTGCGGCTGTGCTCTGATAAGCCAAGCCAAGCCAAGCCATGTTTTGGCTTAGAATATTACCTAAACCTGGGCTCATGGTTTTGCTTCCTCCAGACTAGGGGTGGGTAAATCTCCATTTTGGGTTCTCTCATTTTTTCATTTTCCCAGTCTTAAGTTCAGTTCTCCACATTACCATATGTTTGCAACTTTCTTTTTTTCTTTTAAGTTCCCATAATAATACATTGGCATTTTAGTGTGAATTTATCATAATATGCACATTTTGTATATGCAGTATCACATTTTGGCAAAGCAATTTTCCCAATAGAATGTATTTCCCCATGCTATTTTTACTAATACATGCATATTTTTACACCTTAACTGCCTGGTGAACTATGCTCCAAAATTAAGAGAAGTAAGAATTTTGAAGGATGATTGTGTTTCAGTTCAGGTTGTTTCAGAAACGGCAAATAAAATGTGAATTGAATTGAACTTCTCCCCCTTCCTTACTCCAGACATACCATGAGTTGTAACCAATGTTAAACCATGGTAGAGCCCTACCATTAGACAGAGTGAGGTCGTGGCCTCAGATGGCAGATGTTGGAGGGCTGAAAGTGGCAATGAAGTGTTGGAGGACAGAGCTGTGAGTGCCACATGGCCTTGTATTCCCAGAGCTAGGCTGTTCAGATCCTGCTTGCTGGAATCCCCAAGTCATCTGGTTGGCCACTATGAGAACACGATACTGGACTAGATGGACCATTGACCTGATCCAGCAGGCTTTTCTTATGCTCTTAGTGCTGCTCTCAGATGTGGTGGGAAACACTATTCCATCCCATGTGTTGAAGTAAGATCCAGCTGTCTGTCTGGTTGGCTTTTAAATGTAGAATGTGGTGGTGGGGATGCCTCAGGCAACAAAAGGTCTCTGACTTGCATTCATCCTGACATAGAACAGCTCCCATAAATTGTGTCTTTCTGAGTCAGGAAACCAGGCAGAGGAACCAAGACATTAACAGAACAGCAATATTCAGTTTGCCTACAACACAGTCTAGGCCATGGTGACTGAGAGACGTCAACAGGAAAGAGGTACACGGACGCACACACATCCAGAGAGTTTCAGGAGGGGAAGGAAGTGGGTTTTTGAAAGACACTGGTTTGCTTCACAGAGCCCAAAGGTTTATAAATATGCAATTCTGGTTTTAGATCAAGGTTTTTATTCAGCTTTTCACCAAAGTTGAGAAGCAGGGCCTAGGCCTTAAATTTAAGTTTCAGCTATTTGTCAGATACAATAATATTGTTTCACAGCCCTGTGTCCTAACATACGCTTCGCTAGCTTTCCTATTTCCAATAATATCCATGTGTTTCACTGTGCATTCAACATAGAAATCGCAGAGAATATTTTCTAAACAACTTCTACAATGTGCTGTTTAGAAGCAACTCACTTTCATGTGATAGCGATTTGCTTTCTGAACTGTGAAAAATGGATTCCCACATTTTCTTTGAAATACTATATATACGCATGAGATGGCTGTATCAGACATGGCACACATTCTGTAAATAAAACAGCTGCTGTTAAGAGGGACTAATCAATTTTTAGCTGATATCCAGAGCAGCAATGCTACTTCTTCACATCAACCCAAGTGCAAAGCTTACAGAAAATGTGCATTTGCAATAACCATGCCAGTCTTGTAAGCCTCAGCAATGTTGCTTAGAGTGGGCTCACTAACTCAAAGCTCAATTTCCCACCTGGCTTTTCTAATGGCTCATTACCTTCCCTTTGTCTTTGTCTTTGGTAAATGGCTGATCTCCAGGTGATTTCCTGAATACAGGAAGCTGGTTTGGACTATTGTATTTGAATATTTTGTTGGAAGCCGCCCAGAATGGCTGGGAAAACCCAGCCAGATGGGCAGGGTATAAATATATTATCATCATCATCATCATCATCATCATCATCATCATCATCATTTTATTTTAACACTTTGCTAAATCCACTGTCTAGCAACCATTTTTGGTTGCCCCCAAACCCATGACCCTGGCTGCTGGAGCCTGCTTAAGGACTGCCTGTAGTATTGGGACTTGTCCCCACCCCACAAGACCATCTTGAGCAGTTTATTTCACCCAATTCAGCAGAAGCTTGCTTCTCTTTTGGCTGCTCCTCTGGTGCCTTTACCACCAGCACTGGCTGCTGCTCCACATGCAGACATGCTCTCAGATTTTCCTGCATGTTCTCACACACCTCCAGTTCTTCCTGCTGCAACCCTTTTTCCTGGCACCTCCACAGGCACTGATTCAGTAGGCACCAAACTTCAATTCATCCTGCTCTCCCTCTCCCACAGCAGAGTGGCAAAATCAATCAGAAGCTCCTTGGTTCTAGGCAGCCCATCCTTCTCTGATGTGTCATCTTGCCCCTTGCCTTCAGCAACTGACTGCATCCCTTTGCAGTCTAAGCCCCTGAGCTGCCACTCTGAATCGCTTTGGCCACCCAGTGCCAGATTATCAAACAGGCAGAGTAGGCAACAGCCTTTTAGGGGCCCCAAGACAACAGATCAAAATAATATTGATTTGATCTTGAAAGAAAATTACAGTCAAGCTTTCTAGTGTTATCCCACTAGAACACATGCACAAGCCCCCCCCCCAACCCGAGATTTCGACTGCCTAGGATTTAATCTGCCACAGGGCTTAATCTGGCACTGTGCCCACCCCTTCCATATGGGTGCATAGGAGTCAACTCCTAGGGGACAAGGTCCCTTCTGCCCCCCTAAAAATACTTGAGGCCCCCCAACGTTGATGGGCATTGTCACTCAAATGGGGGGATGCTGTGTCATGTGATTGATTATGCAGGGCGGGGTACCTGCCCCAATACAGTGGTACCTCGGGTTACATACGCTTCAGGTTACATACGCTTCAGGTTACAGACTCCGCTAACCCAGAAATAGTGCTTCAGGTTAAGAACTTTGCTTCAGGATGAGAACAGAAATCGTGCTGCGGCAGCAGGAGGCCCCATTAGCTAAAGTGGTGCTTCAGGTTAAGAACAGTTTCAGGTTAAGAACGGACCCCCGGAACGAATTAAGTACTTAACCCGAGGTACCACTGTATTTTATGCAAGTTGGCACCCCTGTATTTGTGCCTCAAGGCTGGGCTCCTGGGTCATTCTTAACCCATTGTTGTAGCATCTCATCAGGCATGGCTCTCACCTCTCATGGAGTCACATTTTTCTTTCCAAATTTAAGGAGGCCTCTCATGTACTCTGCTTGCAATTGCTTCATTTCATTGAACCACTACTGGAGTTCTGCTACTCCATCTGTCACTGGTTCTAATGGAGTTCTGCTACTCCATCTGTCACTGGTTCTGCTGGAGCATCAACTTGAACTGCTCCAGGAATGTTGCTGTTTCTCCCTCCATTTTGACTCAAGCACACCTTGCTCTTGGGCCCTTCCTCCAGGAAGCACACATCTTACTCCTGAAACCAGTGTTGCAAAATGATAGCATTCTCATAAGTTTTGAGCTGAAATCATTAAAGGGATTATACAGTTAATACACTGAGAGCCTCCTGAAACTACTAATACCTACGTAGAAGAAATTTGTATTTTTACATAGTAGACCTTCGCACAACATTATCAGTTAACCCGATTTTTTTTCTTTTCAGTTCAAAAAGAGACTGTTTACTTCCTTTCAGATTTAGATGTTGAAGTCAAAGACGTCACTGACTGTTACAATATGCACAGTTTCCTTCAGCCATTGTCCATGGAAGATATTTTGGAAAGGACGTGCAATGAATTTCCTATCGTTGTTGCGGTAATTGAAGGCTCTGTCAGAAATAAGCAATCGTATAATATTTTGTGTCCTGGTAGAGAAATAGTCATTTACAAAAAGTGCCAGGCAACACGGATCTTAGCATCTGAGATCAAAGGCGATTCCTATCAAAGGCACTTTTTAATTCCTACCAGCTATAAAGGGAAGTTCAAAAGAAGACCACGGGAGTTTCCAACTGCCTATGACCTAGAAATAGCAAGGAGTGTGAAGGAGAAGCTTCATGTTGTAGCTACCAAAGCTTTTGAGTCACCTTATGAAGGGCTGTCTTCTGTTTCTATTGGAAACCAATTTTTAATTCCACAGTGCCAACTAAGTGAAGTTGTTGATCCGGGGAAGAAGAAAGTAGAGAATGCTTTGGCCTGTGAACAAATTCTATCACCAAACGAAACCCACAAGAGTATACTTCTTCCAATGTGCATGGAAGGGGGCTTTGTTGAACTTGTCCATGATAAGAAGCAGTATGAACTTCTGGAGCTTTGCAAATATTTCCGTCTTCCATTTAAAGTCAAAGTCTCCTTAAGGGATCTTTCCATCCAAGAGGATATTTTGGCTGGTATACCATGTCTGCAGCTTGAAGAAAAAATAACAGATTCGTACTTGTTAATCAGCACTTTCAGCAACCCCACAGAAATCTGGGAAGCTCCTGTGCATCGTTTAAATATGTCTTTCCAGTTGCTGAGCAAACATGCAGAAGATATTGTGTGTTTCCCAACAAAGTCTATTGTGGAAGAGATTACGGAAGAACAGTATTACATGATGAGAAAATATGGAAATCAAGCCACAAACCCACCTCCCAGACCTCCTAAAACCCATAAAGTTGAAGATTCCAAGGCATATTTTCTCACTGTACCGACCCAAAGTGCTTGCAGTACACCAGGACCTAGAAAGGTAAGAAGAATGTTGTGTCTTTTACACATCCATAGCTAGATATTGGGCATAAAACAGTAACCCAGTTCCAATAATAATAATAATAATAATAATAATAATAATAATAATAATAATAATTTTATTATTTATACCCCATTCATCTGGCTGGATTTCCCCCAGCCACCCTGGGTGACTTACAGTATTACGTGGAACATCCAACAGAAGGCTATACCCCTTCATTCCTTGTTCCCTCCAGCCCAGCCTTACTCTCACAATCTGTAGCTAACCATTAGGTTTGACACAGAAAGAGGCTGATATTTTTGGACTGTTCACTTTTATGTCTAAAGCTCTATTTATTTCCATAACTAATATTTAAGGCTAATCTGCCCTTCAGAAAAAATGAGGAGGAAGGCTAGGACACAACTCTTGCTTTTGATATGCTAGATTCCCAAAGACAGCATTAAATATAACACCAAATACATCATTGGCACCACATTCAGTGGTGAATTCTGAACCACAGGAGCGCATTGTGACAGTCCCATAGTCGAAAGAGAATCTGTACCCATGCATCCAAGGAGAGTCCAAGAATGCAGGCAACTGTGTTAGTCAGTTATGCAATTCTGTGACAGTGTTGCCATTTAAACTGCTAATATATTTTAAAAGGAAATAAGCATTTAGTTTTAAAAATATTTTTATTCCGTTTTCATAAAATGTACAGCACACAACCAATTCAGTAGCACTGGATACATTTTCTGATGTATTGTTACGAAGAAGAGTTTTGTCTCTCTCTTTATTTTCCTCCTTCTCTGAGCTTCATTCAGAAACTGTAGCTCTGTGAGACTTTCGATGCCATCGGCCATGGTATCCTTCTAGAGCTGTCCAAGTTATGCCCATGTGGCACTTCTTTGGCGTGGTTCTGGTCCTTCTTGCATGGTCATTTCCAGAGGGTGATGCCTGGGGAGTGCTCTTCAGCCTTGTGGAGCCTTCAATATGGGTTTCCTCAGGGTTTCATATTATCTCTCATGCTGTTTAACATCTGCAGAAAACTGCTAAGTGGGGTCATCCAGAGTTTTGGACTACGTCATCAGCAATATGCTGACAGCATATTGTACAGCTCTACTTCTATTGCAAATGTGGCAGTGGTTGTGCTGAACCCTTGTCTTGCCTCAGTGATGGACTGGATGAGAGCCAATAAAATGAAGCTCGATCCTGATTCGACTAAGGAACTGTATAGTGACTGATTTTCTAGACCAGATGGATGAGAAGTTGCCTGCTCTTGATGCGGTTATACTTGCTCTGAATGAGCAGGTATTGCAGCTTGGGCATACTTCCAGATCCTTTGCTGTCAATTGAGGCTGAGGTGGTCTCAGTGGCATGGAGTGCCTTCCATTAGCTTTGGCTGGTGACCCAGATGCGCCCCTGTCTGTACAGGAATAGTCTAACCTCTGTCGTCTATGCTCTGATAGACTCCAGGTGATATTACATGTATGAACCAGCCTGGACCCTGCAATCATCAACTGAGGCCCTTCTTCATGTGCCTCCTCCATGAGAGATCTAGAAGGTGACAACATGAGAATGGGCCTTTTATGTGGTTGCTCACCCCAAGGAGGCTCACCTGGCACCTTCATTAAATATCTTTAGGTACCAGGCAAGAACATTCCTCTTATCACAGGCCTTTGGCTAATTAGCCAATTTATGGCCTTTTAAATTGAGATGGGGGTTATTGTTTGTTACTATCGTATGTATTTTTGTGCTGCAATCTGCCCTGTGATCTTTGGATGAAGGGTGGTATAGAAATCTATTAAATAAAATAAAATGAAATGAAATAAATATGGTTAAGGAAGGGTGCTGTGTTCACATGTAGTACCACGCTATAGGTAAAACAAACCATGGCTCACAAGTCAACAACAAACCATAGCTTCAGCATGTAGTTTGTTGGAAGAAGGCAAGCAATAGTTAATGCTATAATGTTCACAATGTTATATGTGAACCAGGTCTAAGGCTTTTTAATTTTAAAAAATAATAAGCACAGGATGAGGAGAATCTTCATAGGGAACTCTAAGCTGAATAGTAGCACAGGGAGAGGTTTTCATGGGAATGGAGATGGAGAGGGAAGGTTTAAACTTTCTTTCTCCATGTGCTGTAGACCATATAAAAATCGGGAAGGGTGTCCACAAACAAGCTATTAGATTTCTAAGAAGCCTGACATAGTTGTTAATTATACATTTAGTGTCACATCCAGTTTGACCCTTAGTACACAGAGTTTCTGACATCACAACCACCACCACCACCTTTAAAAATGGAAAGTCCCAATATAACTGTATCACGCAATTATTTTGAATAGGTAGATTCAGGCCCAAAATTCACAAAAGTAAGAATAAAATATAGCTTTGTGCCATTGTAATGGTGGGTGAGTAGCTTAGCAGGGTTAATTTGCAGAAATGTGAATGGAGTACTTCCATTTTACTTGTGTACAATGAAAAACAATAATCAAAACATTAATCTTTTACATTCAAATGAAGCTTGTCTCGACCCCATGGTATGATTTGCATGTGGTCTTTCAACAAAGATAAATCAGAACCGTAGCAGGAGTGCAATGTTTTCCTTGAGTGTAAATGAAGCAATTAAAGTTTGCTTTGACACAACAAAAGAGTTCACTGACAGTGACATTATTCTGAAATTCAACATGTTTACCAGCAGTGAAGCTGAGTGCTCCATAAATCCCCTCCTTACATATCTATTTGCTTCAGTATCTGTATATTCGGGGGGGGGGGCTGCTTTCAAAAACCATGCATCAATTTCATTAATATTTAAGTTTGTTTACATCCTCTCTCTAAAGCAAGAAATACAGTACATACTTCAGTGTTCATAGGCAACCTTCTATATTGCAATTAAAAAAACGGAACACATTGTTTCATCTCATTTTCAATGCCTATGAAGAAAATCTCCACGAGTCAGTAGCTACCCAGTGTCAATATAAACTCTTAATCCAGATGCTAGGAGCATACTCAACCCATGTCAGGAACAACCAAAACTTGGACTAGAAGTATCCTAGTCCATGCTTGAATGCTATTTGTGATGAGACACTTGAGGTCATAGAGGAGCAAAATTATATTTCTGGGGTTCAGTGTGAACCCCCTAAAATAAACCTGCAAATCAACAGCCCATAGGTTCTTCTGACATCTCCTTGTTTTAAATAGGTCTGGGTTGTCTGCTCAATAGTCAGATTCTAGCCTTCCCTGTGTCATTTCCTAAACTTGCTGCAATCCTATGCTTGATTCCTTCTTTCCTTGGTTGCCTTCTGCCTGCATTCTGGGTAGGCATCTAAAGAGACCTGTGTGGCTGCATAGGGAACTTACAGATGAGCTGAGATTTAAGAACGGCATGTATAAGAAAGGGGAAATCACAAAGGAAGAGAAGCCAAGAGTAGTCAACAGGTGCAGGGCTCAGGTGGGCCACAGCTTAGAATCAGTTCAGGCTTGCAAGAGAGTTAAAAATAATAATAAAGGTTTCTTCAGCTATGTTCAAAGCAAGAGAAAAACAACTAAGTAGTAGGTTCTCTGCACGGAGAAGAAAGAGAAATGCTTTTGGGTGACAACTCCTACTTTGCCTCTGCTTCACCCAAAAGGATGATAAATGATGCAAAGAGGGAGCTGCAGTCCCAAATAGGAATAGAGGTGGTAAAGGAACACCTAGCTACTTTAAAGAATTCAAATCTCCAGGACCTGATGAGCTGCACCCAAGGGTACTAGAGGAGCTTGAGGATGTAATCTCAGAGCCTCTGTCTATAATCTTTGAGAATTCGGAGAACAAGTAAAGTCCAGCAGACTGGAGGTGGCAAATGCAGTCATCTTCCAAAAGGGAAAAGAAGAAGGCCCAGGTAATTAGCAACCAGTCTTGACATAAATACCAGGAAAGGTCCTAGAACATGGAGATATAGGTGGCAGTAGGGTTGGTGAGATCCAAACACACCAGCAGAACCAATCTGGTGCTCCCGCTGGTGTTTTTGCACTACAGTGACCTTGCCATCTCCTCCTCCCTCCCCCTCTACCTCTCATTAAGCAACAGTGATGCAACTGACCAGGGGTCAGGTGAGTGACGGCCTCTACCATGCCACCACCTACTGGTTTTTACTACTAATTTGTTTGGAAAGTGTATTCCCAGTTTCAATGAACATGAACCTAAAAGATAAAAACATTCCTTATCACCATGTAGTTATATGATCTTTTCACATCTATCCACTGTCCCTGCAAACCCTTGTATCCTTTCATCATCACCCTTTCCACCTTATAAGAAAAACTACAGTAGCAAACCAACAGCTGAAAGGCAGTCTTCTCTTAACAGATGTGATGGCTTCCAGAGTACCATTCCATCATCCCCCTGAATTGTGAGAGTTCCAAAGAATTCAGCAGAGCCATATTATCTTTCTTTCTCTCCCCCCTCTCTTTTAATCTTAAAAGAGATTGGGTTGTCAATGGGTTTATACAGAGGTGTCACAACTCTGCGCAGCGAAGGGCGCATTATTCTTACTTTAAAGCACACATCTAACATCTATTAGCCAAAGCGAGAGTTTAACTTGCACACAGAAGAAAGAAAAGATTCCCCTATGAGTTATTTTGAGAAGCTAAGTGGGAATTAAGTGGCGCCTCTGCCTTATGGCAACTGTCTTCACAGAGCTGAATCTGACTTTAAATGAGTCTATAGAAACTGCTAAAATCACAGCTGGTATGTGAAATAAGGCTGAACAAAATGTGAGTGCCAGTCTGCGACAAAGCAATGCCACTAAGATGCTAATAAAAAGCTCCCATTGAAATAATTACTCCATGATTTTTACATACAAACGACGTGACAAAGTGTAACTCCACTAGCTGGAGCGCATGGAGTTTTGTTTGTTCATACCAAGTGTCCCTGTTGAAGCTACCAGGGGAAATGACTACAGCTGTTATTGTCTGATGAAGGTAGTAAAAACAGTAACAGTATTGTGCAGTTATCTACAAAATAGGGCATTGAATGTACTGGTGCTTTATTTCAATTTGTCCACACTATATTTCATATTAAAG